TTCATCTGCTGAAAGTGGAAAAATATTCTCTGTGCTCATTGAAAATCTGATTTTAAGGGACGGGGCCTACCAGCAGGATTAGTGACCTCACAATCACACGTCAGTCCTGGTCCAGTATGCAATGTATACAAGTGTGTATGTACAAATTTGATCCCACCAGTGAGAATTTACTTTTTTCCCTTAATGAGGTAAAAGGAGTAGATGCCTTTTTAAGGATTTTAATGTTGAAATTGGAAATAGAAACATATCACACACTTTTCCAAGCAGGATATTTGTATATGTCTCGAACAGACATAAGATGATCATATGGACCTCATTTACATGTGTTTATGAAATAAATACCAATATCTTTGTGATGTGTCTAATTGAGTTGAGAGAATTGGGCTGAAAGTGATCAAAGGCAGGATATGCAGTAACTGGCTTTGAGAAAAAGGCTGTAAAAAAAAAAGCTCAGATGAACAATGAAGTCAGTACAAACTGCAGAAGAGTGAGAGAAACATTGTCAACATTTCATTTACACTGCATGAGGTTCTGTTACTACAGCACACCCAGAAAATATATTGCTGTGGGATTTCATATTCTTGTTTTTGCATGAGCCATCTGAATATCCTGGATTATAACTGTAACCTCGCCATAGGTTCAATTAAATTTCAGTTATTTACATGTTTGGCACAAATTCATGATAAACTTCATTTCAATGCTGCATTTTTCCTCTTTTAAACAGTTTGTGATGATGAATCTAAACTGCTGTTGGGTGCTAACGCAGTGTGTAAGTGCTGCACAAGTTTGTGAGAGCGATCTGGGATTTTCCTGAAGAATTTTTAATTTTGGTAGGTGTGACATTTACAGCCTCGAGACCAAATCCAGCCCCATAAAGAGCTGCTGGCCCCCTTTTTTTAACAACCCTGTAAATACAAAGTTAATTTGTTTTTTGTCCGCCGTGAGATTAAAACATGAACAGTGAGCGAGAGGTGTTTTAAAGGCTTCATTTCATTATTCCACAGCGCCCCACGGTCAGGAAATAAACACACTCGTGGGAAATGAAGTGTCTGATGTGGGTGTGAAACTTTTCTATAGGTCACAGGATTAGAGGGTGGGGCACCTAAAAACATACACTGTTCACATTTGAGCGAAACAGCTGAAAACTGAGATTTTCTCCCCCCGCTATGAAATATGTTTACCACATCTACCAGGCCTTGGGACTATAAATCCAGGCAGAGTTACAAGGGTTGTAAAGTCAAGCCACATCTCCCTGATTTCAGTGGTGGATGGCTGCGGAGAGGCCAACAGGGATCAGAGGAGTTTCCTTCTCAGCGACTAGCTAGAGACTTGCTCTGTGGGACAGAGTGGTCACACCCAGGTGGTCTGGAGCTCAGGTAGTCTGACAGGTTTCACAAACCCCTGCCATGTCCAAACCATCTTTAGCCTGGTTTGGCTCCAGGCCTGAATCGCTCCCTGAGGACAGAAAGCAGTTTAAATCATACCTGTCCTCTGTGTGTGGTGACCATGGAGGGAGTTCTACTGCTGCTTCAAACATGAAATCTATCTACTTAGGGCTTAACCGTATATGAATGTATTTTATTGAGACGTGAAGCTGCAGAGGGAACTGTTGTACTACATCTCTCTCTGCAGTGGAGGATTTATTTGTTTTGAAAGCCCCCTATAAAACCTGAAGCACTGTGAGAAAAAGTCAGACAGTTTATTTGGGAAATGAAGCGTGTCACTGAATAACACTGTGTTACATCCTACGTACAACAGAGTAAACCCTCTGATCCACAGCTGGGAGGGGATGGGGAGGGGATGTTTATACACAAACAGTCAAAAATGTCCGTTATGATTCAGGCGATGGTCAGGATGGCTCGCTCCCTCTTCCTCCTCTTCTTCTTCTTCTCCTTCAGTTGGCCTGTGGCATCGGCAAAGAACATCACGTCCTCCTTGCTCTCGATCTCCCGCTGGAGGAACTGGAGCCCTGCGCTGTTAAAGCCCATCACATCCTGACACACAGAGAGAGAAGAGGTGGTGAGGACACGAAAAAGAAAAGCAGTGATGAAGACATAAAGCTTCTTTCTGAATTCTCTTTTCCACGTTACTCACTCTGATTTCTCGCACTTTGGAGACAGTATTTGTCCGTAGCTCATCGATGACAGACAGCAGCATCTGGTTACTGGAGATCTGACCAAAATGGATCCTTGAAAGAAATAGACAACAGTGTCAGCTCAGCCTGATAATACATCACCAGAACAACAGCAGCTTGTGCACATTGACTATTAGATTTGTTCTACCACCTCTGGAAAGGCAACAGACAAGCTCAAGATTCTTCTAATTATTTAATAAACAATATTTCTGTCCAATTAAATACTAATGGCTAAAATTGTAAAACTTCAAGCAGCTAAGTCCTGTCTGTCTTTTTATGGCTGTTTTTATAGGTTGCTGTTATTGTTAACAATAACAATTAGGAGGATCTATTAGCAGAAATTAGAATTATTCTATTTTACTATATAATATAGCATTTTGTTTGTGTTGCTAAACCAAAGTCATATTAGTTCCAATATTGAATAGCCAAGGGCAATAAGGTAGCACACAGATTTTCAGGACTAAGTTGACTAATCTGAATTTCACCCATTTATTGTGGCCATGTCAACAAACAAGCTAACGTCTCAGAGCATGGAAAGCAACGGCATTTATATACCGGAGATGGTAGGTGATAGGGTCACATGATAGTTACCTTCCTATTGTCACATATATATATTTTCTTAACAATATTACAGTGAATAAAAACAAGTGAAATGGTTAATGCTGCACAATATCACAGTTATGAGGTTACAGAATATGTCAATTCTATGTTTCCATATTTGAAAACTTGTTCAGAGGAAGGAATTGTTCTGTGTGTTGTTCAGAACACATCCCTCACACAGTGCTGGCTGTGCATGCAATAACTACTTAGCATTTGGTGCATAAAAAATAGCTCCAAGATACCTAGTTAACTTTATGATTTTGCATTTATTTGTATTTTAATGCATGTGTTGTTCCTTTTGTTTTTGTCTGACAAGCTACCAGCTGGCTGCAAGATCTGGGAAGTCTTGGCTCATTATTAACTACCAAACACAAAACCCTTTTTCTTTTACCAACACACAGGTAGGGCACCTACTTGAGAAGAAAGAAAAGGCAGCGGCAGACCAGCTCCACCTCCAGGCCCTGCTGGATGTAGCTGTTGAACAACTTCAGCAGTTCAGGGACGTAAGGGAACGGTAAGACCAGCAGAGAAACCTCCAGCTCACTGGTGATCACAACACAAACAAAGGGAAAAGATAAACCCTCAGACTGTGTTTGTATGCACAGAGCAGTACAGATGGTGATTAACTTTATGGGTAAAGACAGAGTCAAACATCATGTGGCTTTGGTCACCCTCGGCTCGCATCTTACCTCGATCTGACCTTCTTTATGACATCTAAAACGTAGCGTGATGGCTGAAAGAGGATCAAAGAGTTAGTTAGCTACAGCTGAAAACAACCTAAAAACAATAGTTTATTATTCATTAATCGAGTATTCTTCATCACTGTCCCACTTACTGAAACATTCCCAAAGGCCACAAGAATAGGATTGGGTTTTGGTGGAGGAAGCTGCAAAACAACATCAGCCATTTGTCAAATGTATTTGATAAATAATAAAATGCACAAACAAAAGCATATGTATGTATATCAATTTAAAGTTTTATTTATCTGTGGTGTTTTATCAACAACCCAGCACTGTAAAAACAGAGTGTTTATGCTCTGTACCATATTCTTTTTAAAATGGGGAACAAGAGAGGTTGTAAAAAGTAGGATTACTGGATCAGGGCTTTACCTCTTTGCCTGCATTCTCACAAGCATATTTATGCACTTCCAGCTTCCTGTTTTCCTCTTTGTAAAGTTCCAGAGCCTCCATGATTCGCTCCGCCTGCAAAGAAATCACACAACAGCAAGAACATCAACAAAGAGAATAAAACACAAGCACAGATGTATTTTAATTAGAGGTGTGAATTGTCACTGA